CTCAGTTCATCGCAATCTCACAAAGTTCCATTATAATCAATGATTTTCTCTACACTGCACAATCAATCTCTTAGAACCTGTTTACACATGCGTTTCCTCTGATTGGATAGCTATCAGACGTCCTAAACGGTATTCGAAATTAGAACTAGTGTGTCCCAAATCATAGTACGTTGGAATGACTATTCCAAAGATCCCCGGATGGTTTACTTTTTCCGGTTAGAATCCGAAGTCCAAATCGACTCTAACGGCTAAAATTGCGTGTGGGACTCGATTAGAACTACAAACACGAATACAAAGTGTTGAAAAACTACAAACATGGAGGATGTGCGAGTCCGACGGTTAGGCAGAGATGTTGAAATAAAGGGGTTTGAGTGATTAAGTATCTAACCTGACGGAAATATATTTATTCAATGTTATTTAATCTGCAACAGCATTGTGAACATTTGTAAAGATATGTTTAGTCATTAACTTTTAAATGCATCATTATGCAAATTGCAAACACTTGAGGAGAGTCTCAGCGTGAAAGACCCAAGACTGGCAGATCAACGTGCTTCTACATTTCTAGCGCTAGGAAATTTAATTAAATGTGAAGGATTTTAACTGTGACAAGATGTTTAACAGGGCAGTTTAAATGGTGATAGGATGCACATAACTAATAAGCGAAAGAGCTGTCCGTTAAAGACACAATTATGACGGAGTAGTATGTCCCAAAGCTTGCCTACTCTTCTGCTACACTCGAAAGAACTGGGCCTCGTACCCCACAGTAAAGGCAGCTAGTGTGGCGTCGAAACCGCTCTATTTTCAAATAAATCAGATTGAAATCAGACATCTGATAATATTCCTGTTTACAGAAACTGTTAAATTGACTTGGAATTTAAACTCTTTCAACGCCTCATTAGCCCCGCAATGGAACAACTCATTAAGGCTTGATTTTCCTCTGGGATCTGGCAATGAAAAAGGAGGGGATGTGAGTAAATTAAAATTCTCTAACAATAAGCAACACCACCCCCGCTTTGTTTAGGAAAAATATTGATTGAGTAATTACACAGAAAAATAAGGGAAAAACAAAATATGGGGGGGGAAATATGAAGGTCACATATTTACTGCAGCTTAATATGGCTGTCATTCTTCTTCAGTCTTATTTCTGTATGCAGAGTGTTAAGTTATTTATCATATTTCATAAATTATCCCCCCCCCCCCCCCAAAAAAAAGGTTCAGACAACCAAATTCACATTCAATCTGCGATAGCATCTGTCTCGCTTCACTATAGTTGTTCCCACCAGCACTGCCGTCTTGGGGCAACCCACACATTTCGATCAACAGTGTGCATGTTGTTTACAAGAAGCATAAACAAAACTCACTGTCTTTTACTATATAACTGATCGCTGTATGATACTACATTACTGGTTGTTAAAGTTAGTTTGGTGTAAAATAAACATTGCCCATCCACATTATTTCTTTAAAGCTACAAGACACCAAAATGTTGTAATGACTGTGTAAAAAAAATATATATATGAAAATAGGGTAATTAGTTTAAACTTAATTCAAGATATATTCTCTGAAAACAAGCCTTGATCATTTTTTTTTTATCTTGTTCTGAAATGTTTAGCTATATTACTGGAAAACGGTACAAATATACTCGTTAAATCCATACACGCATGCAATGAGGATTCAGTCCTGCAAATAAATGCAGCCTCAACTCCCAAAACTTTGCAGTTTGTTCTTGGCTAAAGCACAAAAAGAAAGAAAAGAAAAACCTTCTTTGGATCATCAGTGTGATATTCAGGGTGTGAATTCAACAGGTGAAAGGTTCATTTCATTTGACTGAGATACTAAAGGTGGTGTTTGCTTCGAGGAATTAGCTGACAAAGAAAGCTCGCTGTGTTGATTCCCATGATGTCCCACTTCTTCTCAGTTTAAAGCCGGTAAGTTAATTTGCACTGAAGCCTCACAGTAGGATGTTAATCTTTAGAGTGTGTTTGTGTGTCTAGATGTGTGTATAGTCTCATGGTGCACATAGGCTCATAGTTCTGGTCCAATCACAATCCCTTCTGACTGAATTGATGGGATATTGAGTGTTGTCTTTCCTGCTGCGCGTTGTTGAGTGGGATTTGAAGATGTTATTAGGCAGTTCTTCATCATTTGGGTTGGAAAACAGTATGAGCTACGATAACCCGATTATAATTTCCACTTGGATGAACTTAGAATTGATCTCACGACTTAAAACAACACTTCACAAACAAGCAGATGTAGAGGATCACGCTATCCTTCAGCACAGTTGTCGGTTCGTATGGAGTTGTGGATAACAGGTAAACACCAATGATAAATGCCAGTGTTGCAAAAGCTACTTTGTAACTTAATCAGCAACTTTCCAAGTTAAAGTAGATATATACACTAGGGCAATTTAAGGGGAAATATATTTTAAATATGAAACAAAAAAGAGTATTTAAATAAAAAAAAAGAGTATTTATCTGGTACATAATCAATACGGATCACAATTAGGATTATAGGGTTACTCAATATAATTCAAAAAGATACATGTTCCCAAAATGAAGTAATAAAACGAGAAACACCCTAATCTTACCTGAATCAAAAACAAAGTAATAAACAGCTGAATTTAACTAAATATTTCGCTTCAAAAAGATACAAGTTCCACGCATTTTTTTGAACAGATAAACTGTCACACTATTAAAAAAATACAGTTAAGTTAGAAGGTTTACTACTTTTCATTTTAATTGGTTTAATTTCTCCAAAATGCAAAAATTCAAATGCATTACCCAATAATCATGCATTTATGATAGTGAAATAAATAGGCGTAGTAACTTTTAAAAGATTTCAAGCCAAACTGTATTAACTAAGGGTTATGTTTTAGTGCGGTGTAGGGGAGTCATTTGACGTTCAGTTCTCAAACCAGTTGAGAACCACTGCTTTAGCAGATGTCTAACTAATTCAACAGCAGCATGTCGACTCGAATCACACCATGAGGGCCTTCCATTCACAGGGGGTCAAAAACACGTCTCTTATCTCAGTGACTTGCGTTCTCTCTCACTTCCTCTCCAAACTGAGTTGCCTTGGTTGCTATTTCATGGAACAGATGGTGTGTGAGCACATTACCTCTCCACAGAGACGTTAAGGAGAAAAAGACTTTCAATCTGTTGAAGTCTGGCTTTCTTTCAGACATTATCACCATTTTCTTGCATCAGCAGAATCCCCTACAAACACTTCTGAGGATTCCAGCAATATGACATTACCGCCTGACTTTGATGCCTTTTAGGTCACAATAATAAACCACAAGCAAGATCATAAAGAATGTATCTAATTATAATTCACCTCAACAGTGAACAAGACACTACAAACACTTCTGAGGATTCCAGCAATATGACATTACCGCCTGACTTTGATGCCTTTTAGGTCACAATAATAAACCACAAGCAAGATCATAAAGAATGTATCTAATTATAATTCACCTCAACAGTGAACAAGACAACAGACAGCATTCTTGTCAATTTGGTCTGTACATTTAAAGGGATGTACAGACCAAAAAATCCTGACAATTCTGTCATCATTTACTCACTTTAAGTTGTTGCAAACCTGTATGAGTTTCTTTCTTCTGCTGAACACAAAGGAAGATATTTTGAAGAACGATTTTCAGAATTTTTGGGGTGGAGTATCCCTTTAAATGGATAAACTGGATCATATATTATATCATATATGGTAACACTTTACAATAAGGTTCATTGGTTAACTCTAGATAACTACTTTAGTTAACATGAACTAAGAATGAACAACACTTCTTAAGCATTTATTAATCTTAGTTAATATTGATTTCAACATTTACTAATACGCTATTAAAATCAAAGGTTGTATTTGTTACAGTAGGTATTGCACTATATGAACTAACATGAACAAACAATGAACAGCTGCATTTTTAACTAATTTTAACAAAGATATATATTTAATAAATAGTGTAACAAATGCATTGCTCATGGTTAGTTCATGTTAATTAATAAATTACAAATGTTAATTAATGAACCTTATTGTAAAGTGTTACCTATATATATATATATATACACTACCGTTCAAAAGTTTGGGGTCAGTGAGAATTTTATTTTTATTTTTTGGAGGAAAGAAATCAATACTTTTATTTCTCAAGGAATAATTAATTTGATCGAAAGTGACAGTAAAGATATTTATAATGTTACAAAAGTCTTTTGAACTTCCTATTCATCAAAGAATCCTAAAAAAAAAAAAAAATGTACAACTGACAGACCAACAACTGTTTCAACATTGATAATAATAATAAATGTTTCTTGAGCATCAAATCCTCATATTATACTGATTTGTGAAGGATCATTTGACACTGAAGACACTGACACTGGTGATGCTGAAAATTCAGCTTTGATCACAGGAATAAATTACACTTTACTATATATTCACACAGAAAACAGCTGATTTACACTGGAATAATATTTAATACTATAACTGATTTTTGTTGTATTTTTAATAAAAATAAGCACAGCCATGGTTAGCAGAAGAGAATTCTTTTAAAAATATTTAAAATCGTACCGACCCCAAACTTTTGAATGGTAGTGTATATATATACAGTATATACTTTTAATGTAGACATGTGGACAAGACTTCTAATGACACACTTTGTCATATTTATTAAGTGTATTCATCTGCCACAAGAAATACCTCCTTAATCTGAAAAAATATTGGTATGTGCGATTAATTAAATGAATTAATTGGCTTGTCATTAAAAATGTCAATAGATTGACAGCCCTAGACTATACTTCATTTATACACTTTATAATAAATAATGTTTGCCACAGTTTATGTAGTGATCGAATTATGATATGATGATGCATTTCAATTTACTCATTACCCATGTTTCACAGTGTGTATAATGTAGTGCGGGGGTTGTGATAGTCAGCTCTATAGTATAATGGCCACCCTGACACCCATTATAAGTGCTAAACATTATGCGAGGCAGGACTTACGATATGGAGCATGATGTAGTCTCCTAGTCTGGGGGCGCTGTCGATGCGGACCAGAATCCCGTCCTTGATAGTAGTGCTGAAGCCCACCGCCAGTCTGTCGGTCCGAGTGCTGGGCCTCTCGTTATTGGGCCATGTGTACGTGATAAGACCTCCGCCCTTTCCAAAGATGTACGTCGCTCCAGCTGCAGGGAGGAATAGAGAAAGATAGTGTGAGGCTGACTCTTTTACAATGCAACATCCAGCTGGTGGGATGTCAAAAGTACCAGTATCAGTCTGTAAGCAGTATTGTTAGTACAGAATTTAATACCAAAATTCAACAGACAGCACAAAGCTTACGAAGAGCTTACGATGATGCAGCTACATAAGCTTGAGCAGTCAAAATGCCTGTCTTGGCAAAGTATTAATGTAAATACAGTCTGTTTGTCTTCAGCAAATGTAAACAGATGGGACATACAATTGAATGTGTCAAAATATCAAATCTGTGTACTAGATCTCACAGTGTAAATGCACTCTAAAAGGCTATTATGCTGTATGTATTTATCGAAGAACAGTATTGACAAGGAAAAGAAAACCACTCAATGCTCTTGGCTGGATAATTTTAGTAGCTTTACTACAACTGAACATGAAGACAAAGTAAGGCTTAAAGAAAAAAAAAGTGCAGCTGATTTGAATTACAAGCTTTTCAGTCAGTCACCAATAACAGTGAATCCAATACCAATGCATTATATCTAATACTATGAAATATGAGAATAAATTGTTTTGTTTCACATTACTACTTTATTTCAATACAAATGCAATGTTTTATACTGCTACTACTGTTCACTGTTGTATGCTTGTTCTATCGGTTTTATTTGTCTTATTTCTTGCAATTTGCTAGATTACTGTAAAACTCATGTAGTGTTTAAGTAATTAGGGAAATCTGAATGCTGAATATCAGTATTCCAGAACTATAGCCCTATTCGGACACTAATTGTTTCTCATGGGGTTGTAAGGCATTTTCAACATTTACAGGGGCTAGTCTGTGATTTTATTGCCGTCTGAATTTACCGGCTGCACTTTGGATGCATTTGAAAGATCTAGCCTACACTTTCATTACTGAAATGCTGAAAGAACAATATTATTTCATATCCCCGCTCAAAGGAGAAAGAAAAGAAAAGCACGTAAACATTTTGAAATGGGCCGTTATTATGGCAGCAATTATATACATAACAAATATTAACCAAGCAGCTTTATGTTTACTTAAATAAGAGGCTGTACTATTAACTTATAACGGCTAATTTCCAAATTTTCAAAATGACATCCATCGTTTTGAGATAAAATACAAGGCAGAAAACCATTGACTAAAGCACATCAATCTTCCTGTTTTTAAACAGGAGATTGAATAATAAATAGGATATTATTTTCCTATTATTAATATGAATTTATTCTTATTAATCCACACGTATGCCATGTTTATACAATCATGCGACTGAGCACGTAAGCAGCGCGTTTCCCGGTTCGTAGGATCACCAAACTTGCTCCTCCACCAGGAATAAATTGCCATCCGAATGCATTTTTATCACTGAGGTGCCATGCTCATTTATTTTTACAGACACCCACATGAGGAACGATTACCGTCTGAATAGGTGTTTTGATTGCTTTAAAAGACACAAATAGATAAATCCTCAGCTGTACAGAAAACATGGTGGATTTTAAGAACCCCATAGTGACGATTCAGATGATCAGGCTCTTGTTTTATCATTGTGCTTCATGCAGAATTTATTAGAAGTTGGTCTGAGATCACTGTGAAATCTCCAACAAGCCTATATATTTTCATGCAAGTTTTAGTGACCCAATTTTCATGGTGACTCTTAGACCTTGGCTGTGTGTCTAGAGCTTGAGCTGAGCACTGGGATCAATGCTTGGCCCTCAAGCCTCTGAAACGGGACTCTATACAGGGAAAAGCTTGAAGCTGCCGAAAAAAAAAAGAAAAAAAAAAAAAGACTTACAATCCTCATCCATTATACATGAACCTGCAACTAGAGAACAAAAGCAGGCAGAGATATAAAATCAAACAATCTCTTCCAAGTGTAATTTGACAAACACAAAAGGGCAAAGAAAATAAGCTGGACGTTGGCTCTTCGAGAAGAAGGATCATTTTGCTTTCACATCACACCCATAGCAAAAGATAAAACGAGTGACAAAACTCTAGAAAGTTACTTTGAATCACAGTAATTACCCGTCTCAAATCAGAACCATTTACTAATGTCTGGACAAGCATGTAATCAATTGCATCCAGGACTCTGAGGTCTAAAACATCTGAATCTCTGTGATCTATTATAGGCAGGGCCGGATTTATGCATAAGCATATTCCAGGCACGTGCCAATGCTCGCACGTCCAGGGAGGCCCAATTACAATGAGGAGAAATTTTATATTTTCTTAATATTTATTATTATTTTACTCTAATAGTAAAACACCAAAAGACAATTACCATCGAAATAAACACAATTTTAAATATCGGGCAGAAACCTGGTATCTTAACTCTGACAGTAGGTGGCGGTTATGGAAAAGCATGAATACAGTGGTACACAAAGCAGCGCTGCACTTATGTATACCACTGCAGGCTAGCACAAGGGTAGGACGAAAAAGAAAACGCCATCGAAACTTTTCTGAAGAGAGTCAGTTCCCTTCAGAGATCCATTCATACAAATGTCTACCTTTTGGAACAGTCTTAAAATGCTGCAGCTCAATGGGTTTTTGAACAAAGCAATTGAGATCAAAGAAGTATGAGGAATGAACATGTTTGTGCAGTTTTTGGGCCCTGTGCAGAAGGAACAAGACCGCAGGTGCACTGGCAGTTTTATTGCCATCGTTGACGTTTTCACCACCATTCGTTTGTTATTATGACTGTAACATCTCATTTGCACATCTGGGCTTGAGGGCCCAGCTGGTTGATATTCCTTAAGGGGAAGAGACATCATGCCGAGCGGATGGGGTTGAGTCCCAGGAGACAGAGAGACATATGGGAGTGAGATGAAAGAGAATGCATCACATACATATAATACTTGCGCTGGGTCAGCCTATACCTTGTCCCCAACTAATATGTCTACGCTAGGTCAACACTCTATTTCAGGGGTTTTCAAACTTTATGGAGTCAAGGACCCCTTGTAGGGAAGAAAATTGTCCAAAGACCCCCTTATAAATATAACAGTGATTAATCCCAAAGTTAATGTGTGTGAGAGTACTGAACATGCTTGTTTTATTGGTGCAAACGGTCCCCGTTGTAAATGTAGGCTACTTTTTAATAATAGGCTACAGTTAAATTTGATTATTTACAGTATTTTCCAGAAAAATAAGTAGAACAATTCGAACCAGGTCAAACTTGCATTGTTGAGAAAAAAACAAAACATAAAAGTTGCATCGGTGTATAAGTCACATTTTATTATTAGATTCAGAAATAATGTAAAATACTGGTATATAAAACTAACCGTTACTAAACTCTAAACACTGTAAACATGTAGTTTTACTTCCCCTCGCTCTAAATCCTTTAAATTTAATGGTAGGCCAGAAAACAAAAATAAATTAATTATAGTGCCATTCATTACAAACAACATTTAAAATAAAGATTATTTGTAATGAATGGCACTATAATTTATTTTAATTACTTATTTTCTTTAACAAACTTATTTAGAGTAAAACTTAAACTGAAGTGCGCTCACTTATTCAGCATGAATCGTTTCCACGAATGAATCGTTAGTCGCAGTGTAACATTTGGTTGCTAAACTAGACTTTATTATGTAAAGAAGGCTTTGTACTTCTCTCGTGTCCCAATATCCACTCAAAATAGTATCCTTCACATACGGAATAAATCAGTTTGGAATAACACCACAGCATGCTCACGCTGACCGACACAGCATACAACCAGACAAATAAAATAGAGTAATCGAATAACTTTTCTATGTTTAGTTGTCTCACAAGAGGCTGCAATGTCAAGTTAGCAATGTGAGAAGAACTGATATGTTGTGTTGTGATACGTTGTGCGCTTAGATAGTGGAAACAACTCAAAATACTCCGTCAGATAATATTAAAGGCATCTTTCAAAACGGTAAAGGGTCTATTTTTATATGTGTAACAATTAAATAAACAAAATAAGCTGGCCGTCTCTGTGAATTTCTTTCTGAATACACGTAACAAAAAAAACCCAAAACTTGATTGCTGCCTATTTTGAAAACCCCTGCTCTATTTTATTAGATAAAATACATGCTTTAGGGATAGAGTCAAATCCTGACCCAAATAAACCGCAGGATCTCACTCAGAGATCTTCAGTGTCTCCAGTCGTAGTTCTCGTGAGGATGGACACAGATCTGAGCTCGGTCTTCAGGGAGTTGTCCTCCTATGCCATGTCTTCTCAGTGCTGTGGGATGCCATGAAATACTGCATCCACACTGCACCCCAGGGAGCCAATTATCCCACTCAGTGGATTTGCTAAGTAACAAGAGACACCATTCAGTCCTTACAACACCACGTTTCTAATGGACCCTGCACGAGTAGGCTTAGCGAATGCCTGACAAACAAAAAAAGCTATTTACCAAATTTAATCGTGTCAGGGCTTTAAGCGATTGCACACGTCCATTTAAATGCTGCCGAATTGGCAGGTAGGCTGAGAGTTACTTGCAGCGTTGATAGAGTGAGGGAGTGTTTTGCATTTAGGCATTAGTGTTAAGAAAAAGGCTAAAAGTAGTGAGATTACAATTACGCCACAAATGGACTGTTTTTAATGAACAGTGAAAGCTTTTGAAAGTCTGGTGTTTTACGTATGAATTCATTATGGGCAAATTGCATCTTCTGGAGCAATATGTCCCACAGTTACTGTCTCCTTAATGGAATTCCAGGCCGGTGAAAACTTCATTAAAAAACTTCATTACAGAAATGCGCTGATAAAGGGTGATGCGTGGCAAACATTTTCAATTCAATATACTAACACACAAAAATAAAGTGTGTGCGGAAAAGCAGTTTTTTTTGACACATTAAGGAAACTAAGAACATGTTGTTAACAAACATGCTGGACTAAATATTGCTTTCACTGCTTTCTGCATTTAACATTTCCAATTCCATGATTCAGTTAAGAGGACTTTTGTTACAGTCTTAACCAAATAGGATTTCTGAAAAAAAAAAAAAAATCTGATAGAAAGTTAGTACATT